CAGCTTCATGAAGTAACCACGCCCCCTCAACTAACCCTATATAAGATTGTACCGATCCCTAATAAACAGCTTCGGCTCAGCCTTCTCCCTATACTGTATGAGTGGTTGTGTGATTGTGTCCACCCTTTCCTTCTCCCTCTCATACGCCGATCACAAACTCCCCGACACCGCCCGCTGGTCGGGCAGTGCCACATCTTAAAATATTAGGAGGAAAAAAACAGCAAACTGAACCCAAAGGAGGGCTTCTTCCCTCACCAGCAACTGATGCCCCACTAGATACTGTATCTCCTGCCTTTCAAAGCAATCATCTTCTTCCCAAAGCGGCTCTTCCTAAGTGGGCCACTTCTGAGCCCCCTCAGGCCCTACCCGCACCTTCTCTTAACCTCCCTAGTGATTTTTAATCTCATTCCCACATTTTCTTCTTACAGCAGAGCCTCTCCTGCTATGGACTGCTCATTGGACTCCTCACTCCCCATTCTGCTCTGCCATTATCTGCTGCCCCTGTGACTTTCTGCAAAGATGTGGCCAGTTAAATGGAATTTTGAGTTTTTCTGTGTATTCTAGAATCCTTGAATAAGCAGGGTTTTTTGTTACTTGGGGGATAAAGGGAGGTTCAGGATCCTCATTGCTCTGTATGACTTTTAGAAAAGAAATGGAGGCCAGGTGCAGTGGCTCCTGCCTATAAACCTAGCACTCTGGGAGGCCAAGGCTGATGGATTGCCTGAGCTCAGGAGTTTGAGACCAGCCTGCGCCAGAATGACAAATGCTCTCTGTCCCTCTAAGGCATATTTATCCTGGTTTCATGGGCCCTTGCTATGGACTCACCCCACACAAGCTCCCTGGTATTCCATGGACTGAGGTTTCCATGGTGCCCCTCTCCAGGTTCTTCCCCTATCCTGTCCCTTATGCAAGGTATCCCCAGAGGCCTTTCCTTCTCCTCTTTCATGTCTCATGACTTCCATACTTTCCCCAGGTTTCTCCAGATCCCATGGCTTCCCATCCTACCCAAGTACTGAAGACACCCAGTTCCTATTTCCTATTCAAATCCCCCTCCCATCTGTGTATGGAAACAGAGAAAAAACATTTTTTTGAGACATATTCTCACTTTGTTGCCCTCAGTAGAGAGCCATGATGTCATAGCTCACAGCAACTTCAAACTCTTAAACTCAAGCGATTCTCTTGCCTCAGCCTCCCAAGTAGCTGGGACTATAGGCGCTTGCCACTGTGCCCAGCTATTTTTAGAGGTGGGTTCTCGCTCTGGCTCAGACTGGTCTCAAACCTGTGAGAGGCAATCTGCCTTGGCCTCCCAGAGTGCTAGGATTATAGGCATGAGCCACCGCACCAGCCAAGACAAAGAAATTCTTAACTATAGTTTCCATGGGGAAAACCTACCAGGAGTTTGAGGTGGGATAAAAAAATTTTCTTCCTGTAATCATCCTCTACTACTTGTACATTTCACTATGGGAATGATTCACTTCCGGAGGAAGGAAGTAACTTGGCTAAACGATAGTACCCAGTTATTTAATCTGTTAAAAAGGTAAACTGAGGCATAATAAAATTTTTAAAAACTTTATTTGAGCAAACAACAATTCATGAAGCAGGCAGCTCCAAACCAAAAGTGGCTTGGGGACTCCACTGAAGAAGCATTTTACAGAGTGAATATGGCAGTCATGCAAAGATTTTTATTAGTTATGGTTACAAAGTTACTTTATTTGGTCCATCTCCTAAAAAGCCCCTTGTTGCATTATTATAAATTTATTGGCTACTTTTAATTAGTCAGGCCTAAGTTTTGTTTTTCTTTAATATGGACATTTATAAGAAATAACAAGTTTTTAACTTATGCTTGTA